ATGGTCACGGTTAGTCGCGGTCATGGTCACTCACGGTCACTCACGGTCACTCACGGTCACTCGTGGTCATTTAGGGTCACGGGTGGGAGCGGTGATGGTTGGGTTGTGATGGGTGAGGAGGATGGTGGAGGTGACAAGGGAGGGGATGGAGAGGATGAGGATGAGGAGGATGGTGGGGACAGTGGTGAGGATGATGAAGGGGATGATGGTGGGGTGATGGTGAGGATGATGATGGGATGATGGTGAGGATGATGATGGGGTGATGGTGAGGATGACGATGGGATGATGATGGGGTGATGGTGGGGTGATGGTGAGGATGATGAAGAGGATGGTGGGGATGGGTGGGGATGATGAGGAGAATGATAAAGGGATGACAAAGGACAGGAAGAGGATGATGAAGATGGCAATGACGAGGACAATGAAGGGGGTGACAAAGGGGACAATGAAGGGGACAATGACGAGGATGCTGGAGGTGTCAGCGCAGGGGGTGATGATGCTGAGGATGGTGATGGGGTGATGAAGGTGATGAAGGTGACGAAGGTGACACCACAGGTGACAGCGCCCAGGACGGTCCCTACCGGCAGCGTGCGGCTCCCGTGCAGGGCGGCGATGGCGGCCTGGGCCTCTGCGTGGCTCTGGAACTTGACGAAGGCGCAGCCTGGGGACATTGGGGACATCGGGGACATTGGGGACATCGGGGACATCGGGGACATCGGGGACATTGGGGACATCGGGGACATCAGGGGCATTGGGGACATTTGGGACATTGGGGACCTCGGCCCCGTGGCACCTCCAGGGGGGTCCCACAGCACCGTCTCCACCCCCATCACCCCATGGACCTCTCCAGTGACCCCAATGTCCCCGATGTCCCCAATGTCCCCAATGTCCCCAGCTCCAGTGACCCCATTAACCCCATCCCTGCCGTGTTCCCTCCAAACCCCATCCCTGCCCTGCTGATCTCCCCCTGCCCACCCTGGGGACCCCGGGGGGACCCCCCAGGAGCCCTGCGGTGACA